TCACCCTATCCGGTCTAAAATCCCGTTGTAAAGTTGTACCCTTTCAAAGTTCTGAAAATTATTCTTTTCCCTCATAATAACTACCCATGAACACCACAACATTTTCCTCCTAGGTTTATACTAAACAATAACTCTCTAAGTTTATTTAAAGGTTTGCATTAAACTTAACTCTTCAGGTTTACACTAAACATTGACTCTCTAGGATCTTTTAAAGGTTTGCATTGAACTTCAATCCTCAAGGTTTACCATAAGAGTTAGCTCTATAGGTTTATACTAAACAATAACTCTCCAAGTTTATTTAAAGCTTTGCATTAAACTTAACTCTTCAGGTTTACACTAAACATTGACTCTCTAGGATCCTTTAAAGGTTTGTATTGAACTTCAATCCTCAAGGTTTACCATAAGAGTTAGCTCTATAGGTTTATACTAAACAATAACTCTCTAAGTTTATTTAAAGGTTTGCATTGACCTTCAACTCTTAAGGTTTACCATAAGAGTTATCCCTTAAGGTTTATACTGAGCAATAACTCTCAAGGTTCTTTTAAAGGTATGCATTAAACTTGACCATTTAGGCTTACCAAATGAGTTAGATCTATAGGCTTACTCTAAACATTAACTCTCTAGGATCCTTCAAAGGTTTGCATTAAACTTTACTTCTTAGGTTTACTTTATGAGTTAGATTTATAGATTTACACTGATCAAAAACTCTCTAGGATCGTTTAAAGGTTTGTATTAAACTTCAAACCTTCAGGTTTATTTTTTGAGTTAGATCTCTATATTTACTCTAAACATTAACTCTTTAGGTTTCTTTAAAGGTTTGCATTGAACTTAAACCCTTTTTATATTAATAATACAAACATTATTTATATCTAAGTTTCAAAGGTTTAATTTCAAAACTCTATTTTGCCCGTACTCACTACTTACCCCTCTTATGAGATACAAAACAACCCTGTATACCCCCTGCACCCTCCCCCCCTTCCTCCAGTTTACTCCTCTTCCTTTGAACCCTTTGGAACCTGATCCTACACTTCTCCTATGTGTGTCTAATCGGACATAACTTCATTCCTATCTTTTCTAACCTGGGTTTAAATGAGTTGTATTACACCTGGATTCAAGCCTCTTGCTCCGAACCTATTGAAACTGCAACAAAATCAGCGGAAGTTAAAATCACTTGTGTAAAACTCATTACTTAGAAAGGTACAGTCGACGTTATAATAAAAAGCAATCCATTTTATTTGCTTCATGTCCGATTTATTAAGATACACTTAAAACTTTTATGTAATAATCGATCAGAAAAATATCATCTTTTTTTTCGGTCGAAAAAAGATACATTTTTTATTTCCTAACTTGTAAGAGAAATCATATTTCAAAATATGAATTTTCAGGCAAAAAAAAAATGATATTATCTCCATAGTTTTCTGTAGGTTAAAGGGTACTCTTGTAAAACAGGCAATTGACTATTAAATCACTCGGACGATCCCTTTAAGATACAGATATAAATTTTGCGGATTTTGTCAATAATTATTTTAGTAGATTGAAAAAAGAGTAAGAAAGATTGATTTGTGGGACTGGAATTTTAAAAAATATGATGAATCATTTAAATTAAAAAAAGTTCAATCAAAAAAATGTTATCTAATTTAATTGTATTGTAACTATGAAATAATTATTTCGAAATTACTAGCGCTTAGTTCGAATTACACAATTAAAGTTAGAAACATTAAAGTGTTCGTAAGATATTCACTCCTAACATTCTCTTCGTAATTTTAAAGAAAATATAGTTTTGATGGAAGCAACAATTATTTAGCATTATCCTCTGTCATCTCACAGTCGCAATTTCTCTTTAGACACTTGTCTCATAATCCATCAAAGGGGAATTTAGGCATATTTGGCTTAACTTGGCTTTAAGCGAGGAAACAGGGAGGAACGAGCAAATTTAGTTATAACGAGGCAGATAGGCATGAGGGTATGCAGGAATGAAGGGGGGGGGGGTCGGTATGCCTGCTAATAGGATGAATCAATCATTTTGAAGTGATGCCTATTTGTTGGACAGTGTTGAAAGGAGGCAACGTTTATAAATAGGCGGGAAACTGTGATATGCACGACTAAGTGTAGATCATATATTCATGCAGTGCATTCCATTTTGTATTCGGATCAAGATTCTGGATCCGTCTTGTTGAAAACCTCATCAACATTTCTACAAGTGTCACTAAAGTCTTTAAGTAAATTTCAATTTAAGAAGTCTACCAATTTTTTTGGTTTACATTTCTCCTTTGCTCCGGATATAGTTTCGGATCCGGATCCTTACCATTGCATTGACATGTGTGCATGGATCCTTTCTAAAGATATAGAATTAGTTTAGACAAACAATAAACCCTTCACGATACCCGTGGTGTTGAGAAGTTGAATAAACAAGTGCGCGTGATTACAATCTTCAAATTTCCCCGCAAATTCCATGGCAGATGTTGCAAAAATAATAAATGTTGCGCGCGCTCCATTCATTTGTTGAAAACTTGAGATTTATTGTATTTAAAGTTTAAACGATTAAACGGTCTGATAGTTTATAGCATCATAATCATTTTAGAGCCTGACCAAATCTTAAATATAATTATTTTCAGATTTCCTGCCATTTCCTGTCGGACCAACCATCAATGAACATTAACCAAAGGATGGAAGACGACCATTTATAAAATGGCGCGAAATTTTCCGGGCTTGGCCCGGCTCATTGTTCTACTGCTCATGGTGGGTGAAGAGACGTTATCAGGTTAGTTTTTTTCTATTAAAATCAATGTCAATCATTGGTTTCTGACAGCTGAAATTAGTTAATCCGTTAAACAAATATTTATCTCCATCTTGGATAAGAGAACCAAATGGTTTATTATTTTCCTTATCAATGTTTTAAAATTATTTCTAAAAATGGTTTGTCATTGGTTACATTGAACGATTCTTTGTGTTACGGTTGAATTTAGATTACAAAGTCGATTTATCTTAGAAACGCCGTAGGCCGGGGGGGGGATTATAATTAGATTAAACATCTCAGATATTGAATTGAAACGTCATTCTAATCCTTTAGGGTTAAATACGCTGTTTGAATTCAATTTATAAAATGTATTTTGCCGCGGGACTAAAAGAATTTCTAATTCACATTTTTCCATGTATAGGTTTGATTGGTATTTAATAGTATAGGCATGGTTGGGATAAAATAGAAAATAAAATAGACCCAAAACTTGCAATCTATATATGAAACCCTGGCTTAGGTTTTAAGAATTAGTGATCTGAGATGGATTTATTTTACATTAACAAGTCCCGAAGCCATTTCTGCAAAACAAGATTTAAATCTCCTTTAATAGTTGCGGATTGGGGCATTCCGGGCATTCAGCAACGGTCATCCAATTGATTTCACACAGAAATCGTTTATTATTTTTTTTCTCAAATTTTCAATTCTCTCATACCTTCTTACCATTCTCGTTAAAATTCTGTTTGAAGAGAATCTAGCAGGCAGGGTATATGTAGAGAAACAGGGGCAGATACAGGGGGTCCAAATAAAAACGGCAGTTCAGAAACGACGTAAAGGTCGTCTTTGGTCTTACATAAAATAGGAAAAAGTGTGTAACAGAAAAAAATAGCAAAAATTTAAAGCTTTTCAGGGAGTTCACAACAACATGGAAATTTTATATTATTCAAAATTTGTCCATAGATAAATATCAAAAATAAAAATCTTTAAATTTTTCTCTTAATTCTCATGTATGTATTTCTTTTGATTCAGGTTTAAAACTTTTTGCATTTTAAAAAACCTTATTTCATTGAAAGTTATCATTAAAAGAACTTTTCCCTTAAAGATGTAGTTTTTATATGAATGATTTTTGCCTTTCTGCTCTCTTAGCGTTGTATTGTATTATTTTTCTTCTCCTAAATCTATTAAAGATTTGTTATTTCAAGTTAAGAATGCACTTTTTCAGTAAAAACTACTTGTCAAAATCAAAGTTGAAAACTTTCAAGTCAAACATTGCTTTACAGATTTCTTCTTGAAAAAGGAGTTTTTCTGCCACCTGTTGAAAATATTTTGAACTAAATGTTGTTCCACATATCTAACTATAGGTTCGTTATAATAAAGAATTAAAAATTAATCAATAATTCAATCATTAATACAAAAGCCCTTTCTTTTTATTGTTATTTTAACTTTATTTTGATTTGGTTAAAAACGCGTCAGCTCTATTTCTTTGTCAATTAATTTTATGTTTTGTTTGCGTGTTGAAGAAGGTTTTCTATTTGAAATCAGTTTTGTTAAATGCTTTGTTCAAACTTAGCGGAGACAATTTTACTGTCCCCTTAGGCAGCAGGGACAAGCAGTACTTTCTAATCATCCTTTTATAGTTCATCCTTTTTGACCCCCCCCCCACCCCGGCCCCTGCCCGCCCCTTTCTTGAAAATATATTTTGCACAAATATTTTTTTTCCGTTAATAAGGGAATAATTAATAATGGAATTTTTAATAAAAAAAAAGAAAATTGGGAGAAAACTTGCCATTTGAAGGAATTTCTTTTAAATAAATATATATGTATCCCGGTCCCTTTCACAAAAAAGAACCCGAACAAATCTTGATGAAAAAGGTCTATACCCCAAATGTTTAAGTATATACTTGATGCACACATACTAAAGTTTTTACATGCCTGACTTCACTTCAATATTGATACTGTCAGTTCCCTGTCTGTGTGTGTCAGTTTTTTATCTGTATCCATCTATCTATCTATCTCCATATGTCTGGAGCCGGAAATTTAAGTATCGTTGAACGAAACTCCCGAGTTTCCTTTTTTGGGGTCCAAACATTTGTGTAGATTTTGATTTAAGAAATCAGGAAACAAAAAGAGAATGCTAAGAAACCACATGAATAAATATTCCTCAACAGAAAAACTGGAATCTAAATGCCTGACCCCTTTCATGTAACCGGGTTTCCTATTCTGGGTTTCATGACGATACTCTTTCTTAAGTTACGGGCTCTGATGTAAGATGAGTTGAGATATGGAGTAGAGATAAACCAGTGCTCAATACTCGTGATCAGACCTCAAATTATTCAATACTGGAAGGGAGGAGGGGGTGTAAAATTCAATATATAGATTGGAAAGAAATAGAGAAAATATATATCTCGATGAAGAAAATGGAAAATTAGATTTTAATTCGGTTTTGCCATGATTAAGTATCATTGCGGTTTATGGGTTTCTATTAGAAATAGTTGATTCCGTTTATGGTGCGAAAAAGCAATTTGAATTTATTAATACATAAGCTAGAATTGGAAGGGTAACATGATGAAGATATAAAATAATCGTATAAATCTTAAATCAAATTTCTACATGCGCTGAAAACTTTAGAATTGTGGTTATCGAGATCAATGCTTGATCAGAGTGGTGTATGCAGAATCACGAAGACCCAATCAGAAGCCGGGAAATTTAAAATTTTGCGCGCCATTTAGTGAGAGAACTCTTATTTGTTGGAATCCGACAGGGATATCCAAAAAGAGGGAATAAGAGCTGATAAAGCAGAAATCAACAGTGTCCACAGTGGATATTCAGATAAAGCGATCGTATCCAATTCTAAAGTTTTCAGCTCTGGTTGATGTTTGCAAATTGTAAACTAAAACCTAATGTTCCGATCAATATATTCATCATTATTATTCATCTCGATCAATATCTTGATCATTATCAATGCTTAATGATCATTTTTACACTAATCTGCAGCTTGCGGATTAAACTTCAATTTATAAACTGTCATTTACAACTCTGGCCTGCATTTGCTAAAGATTTCGTATCTAAATCAATATCTTCAAAGATTTATATATCCTATAGTATATTATTTTATATATCCCTTGTATTTTGCAATTTAAGATTGTGTTGCAATCTGTATATTTAATGCAATATAATATTGTATATTCAACTAACACACCTAGCATTATTCTGCATGCATATGCAGTTAAGCCGGAATTTTGCATAGCGCGTCCTTGTCCTTAAAGCTGGGATTTCTCGAGCACTTTATTCCACCACTTTCTATCAATCAATCAGTGTTTTGTCTCTATACAACCTTCACTCTCACTTGGAACGTGTAAACCACCAAAGTTCATAGTAAAGAGACTACAGACGTAGAGATACTAGTGGCATGTCCGATTCACAACAGTACCCTTTTTTTGTCTGTTCCAGGATTAATGACATGTTTTTTCTTGTCGAGCATAAAAGTTCTCTTTAAGTCACCATTTTTTCTTCTTAATTGTAAACACAATTTTCTCTGATTTTCTTTTTAAAATTATCGAATTTTTTATAAAATATTAAATTTCGACATTTTTTCTAGCTAAATTTATCAATTTAAACCGTCCAAAATTTGTTCCTGAAATCATGTGAGTTGGGCCTGATTGGTTCAGCCGTTTTGACGTTTATTTGATACTGACAGTATAAATAAAGATATGACATCAAAAACTAATCAACGATTGGTTTGATCTTTTAAATGTAAGGCCAATGATAAATTTTCCATTTACTTCAATTTCTGAAATTTTAAAGAAATAAACCCTCTATAGCTGACATTTTTACTGGTGTCCTGCTGATTTATAGGTTGCATGGTTCCTAGCAAATGTATTGAAAATTAAAGGTTTTTAAAAGCTGAAAATGTTACAATTTTAGTATTTCAAAAATAATCTTCTAAAAGAAAATTTATCAAGATTGATCCTTGCTTTTGAAAAATATTTCGTTTTGGACGTCTCATATTTTGGACGATTTTTTTCCGGACAATTTAATTGGATGATAAAATTTGTTTGGTACTACTCCTTTATGGGACGTTTTTTGGGATTATATATATAGTTATGGACGACTCATGTGTTTTGTGACGACTCAAATGTTTTGGGACCACTCAAATTATTTGGGACTTTTCATATTGTTTAGAACAACCTTAGTTTGGGATGACTCTTGTTTGGAACAACTATTGTTTGGGACGACTGATTTGGTGGTTTTATAGAGTTTAGTTTGTGGTTAGATGATGCAGTTTTGAGGATTATAATGAGGATTATATGACCTAATCCCAGCATAATCTTAAACCTAATTTTCCTCCGGAGAGATGAGTCTACAAAACAAAAGATTCGTCGGCCGACTCATCTGACAAATCGTCGACGGACAAAAAATTCAATTAAAAATTATTTCGGATCCAAGTGCCCCGGAGAATAAAGTGTCTTTGTTTGAACCAGAGAATTTCCCAGCACTGGTTCCTACCATATAATTAGTTAATAAGCGTGCTTGCTAATTAATATTTTAACAATTTTTAGATATATCTGCTAAATGTCTACTGTTACAAGTTTCAGATCTATTTGTTGAATGTCTATTTTTACAAGTTTTAGATCTTTCCTTCAGTTTTTTAGTTAGATGTTTCCAAATTTAAAAAAAAAACTTGAGCTTTGAATCGACTTTTTACTAATGCTAAATGCTTAATGCCTATTTCTGTCTCTAGCTTAATTTGGTATTTGAGCCTGGGGGAACATATAGCTAACTATAGTGTTAGCAGACAGACAGATAGTTGGCAGACATGCAGTTTAAAGATATGGAGAGCTTAGCTTCTGTCCAATTATTTGACTAATGTTTTAAGATCATACAATATATGTACAGGATGGTTCTGGAAAATTTTCAGAAAAAATAATTTACAGGATGCCTCGGGTACATACAAAATACAGGATGTCCCTTGAACATACAAAAGACAGGTTGCTTAGGCATACAATACGGAGGAGTCGG